CCCCACCCCCCACCCCCAAAAAAGAGATGGACTGTCTTCCTGAAGTGTCAGAGGCTCGGAGTTGCCCTTGTCTGAGAAGTAGAGCTTCCACTGTGGCGGCCTGTCCAGAATGTGGGCTTGCAGCAGCCTGAGCAAGCTCTGCCTTGTAGTCAGCAAGGCCAATAGTTGCTTCCAACCCCACTTTATTGAAATGAGGACCAGTCTGTGGCTCGATGAACCCCTGGCAGCCTCGGAACACCCACAGTTATTGTTAGTGACCTCACTGGATTGATAGATGGAACCACGGGCACCAGAAGAGGTCTATTGAGCCTGAGCAATGCAGTGTACATCTGCCTCAACTTTAAATCTTTCCAAATAACTTTAGTTTGAAGAGGAAAATAGCACAAGAAAGTTCAAGGGAATACAAAGTCCCAAGGACCTGACAAGTGGCTTTTGGGGAACCTGTGTAAGGCACTGCCATTGCCAGCTTTGACACTGAGGCAGCCATTCGACAGCTGAGTGTCATCCCTGAGATGGGGTGACAGTGCTCAGGAGGCCACGCTCTGCAAGTGTGCACAGCTGGGGCGGGGGGCATGGGGCAGCCCCTCACCTGCTTTTCCCCACACCGTCTCCTTCCTGGGACCCAGGGAGAGGTGGCCTCAGTGTCTCAGCCACAGTGACTGCTCCCAGGCTGTCTCCCCATCTCTTGCTCACCTGCTTCTTGCTGCCAAGTTACTTTTAGTGGAGCAAGGTGGCTGCTATGGGGTGTCCACAGATTTTGGCACAAACAGAGCTGAAGGCTGAGGGACAGGCTCACTGGGTCCCTGAATAGTGGCATCGGTGTGATTGTATGGGGTGTGTCCAAAAGCCACTCCAGCAGTGCAGAGAGAGAACCGTGAAGTGTCAGGTAATGGAGCCATGCTGGGTCTCCCCTCTGCACTCCCTTCTCTCTGATTGGTCCTTGCAGCCTTGGTGACTCTCTGATTCCTTTAAATAGACCCTTTAAAATCTAGCCTTTTCTCTGCCAGAGGGTTGACCAATTACAATACAGTTGTCTGCAGCTCAAAACAACACTCCTATTTCATGTGCTTCTGGAGACCCCAGAATGTTCTGGAACAATAGAAAGGGTGACCATCCAAAGTATCTCTCAACAGTTGTCGTGGTTCCTCACTCTGCAGACATCCCAGGCAGAGAAGGTTTTCTCACAGGTTGCTTGCTACAGGCTTCCTTTTTTGGAAACAGCCACCATAGTTTGTTCCTAAGTGCTGCTACTGAGTTTTCCAGGAACATGTGTGACATCAGTGCAAGCTGTAGAGTGAAGTGGGAAGGTCACCTTTTGCCTGATCAAGTGTATAATTTACTGACAGAAAAAGAAAGTGGCTTCTAAATACCCTAAGATGGGAGGGACCAAGTCATGGTCTTCTGGGGACAGATAGAGACGAGGACACCTGGATCTTGGCAGGTGCTGTAGCTCTGTGGGCAGAGTCTGTCATCTGACTCAAAACTAAGGTGACTTGTCATAGCCCCTGCAGGAACACTTGGCCTGTGGTGGGACCTAGAGCATTTGTTGTATCTTTGGAAGATAAAACTAAGATATTTTGTATTTGTTTTGTTCTGCTCAGATTACCCGAAAATTCAGGCTGAATTCTGAAGGCAAACTTGAACAGACAGTCTCCATGGCAACCACTACTCAACCCATGACTCAGCATCTTCACATCACCTACAAGAAGGTGACCCCGTGACCCAGAGCAGAACTTCTTCCTGGCCGTGTGTGTCAGGATGTGACACTAGGCTTCTCACAGACGCCGCAGCAGCAAGTGTGGGTGTGGCTGCAGCTCGCAGGGGGATCAAGGGCATTGCCCAGTGTTCCTGTAATGGCATAGAAAAACCAAATAAAAGGCCTTTATTTTTATGGCTGAGCATTTTGATATTATGTGTGTGGACTGTCCAGCTCCTCATCTGCTGGTGACTGTTTTCTAGAGTAAAAAAGACTGCATTTTTTATAAGATCTGAAATATATATAAACCTTAAGTAGAGTGGTCAATCATAAGCTAAAGACAAAGACGGACAGAAAGAGTTGCCGTGATTTTTAATGAGCTAAAGGAGCCTGAGGACCCCATTTCCATAAGGACAAAAGGTGTTTCCAAGGCAAGATGGTAGTTGTGAAATTAGCGTCATTATGTAAGTCTTATTTTATTACTCTGTAATATATTATTACTTGGATTTCTTTCTTTGTTGACTATGAGTTTGCAGACATACACTGACCTGTGTACCTGTCACCCAGTTTTAACACCTGCCAGCTTTTCCATCCCAGTGATTTCACCTGTTCTTCCACCTTCTTTTTGCTAGTATTTTTAAGCAAATTCCACACATAATGTCATTGATCGCTAAATGCTTCAATATGCATTTAAAAACAAAGCCTTTTATTTTCTTAGCACACCAGGGTATCAGAAACCACACCAGGAGCGCAGATACATGTGGAAGGAGGTATTCCAGCTGCAGAGATTAGCACCTGCAAGAGCAGCTGCATCCTACCCATCCCCCAGGGCTTGGGGACAAAAGACATTACCAGTTGGTGGCTTAAGGACAAAAGACATTATCAGGTGGCACACTTGGAAGCTCAGAGGAGGAACCAGGACTTGTGCTGAGCCATCATATGGGAGGAGCATGGCCAGTGTGTAAGGAACTCGGCTGGTTCCCCAAGTGCCAGGACACAGGGAGGCTGGGCACTCCAAGTCAAACTCAGGTACAATTCATCCTGAGGCACAGCCCTCGCCGGCCGTGAACCTGTGAAACCAGACAAGGAATGTGCCTCCAAAATAAGGTGTTGGGACAGTCATGGGCTGGACATTCCCATTCCAAGGGGGTGGGCAGGCAGAGACAGGTCCTGAGCAAAACGAAAACCTGAAGGCCTCAGAATAATCCTCTGTCCTCATGTCTGCCTCTAGGCCCACTGGGGTAGAGGTCCCTCCTGGGCTGCAGTAACACACCAGTGGCTCTATCAAAATTTGCTGGGGTCATCCTAATGGGGAGCTCTCTGCAGCGGCCTCACCTATGCAGGGCCTGGCTCTCTGCCTGGGTCATGAGAAAGCTTGCTCTGAGGAAGCATGCCTGCACCACTGCAACTTCCAAACTCTAGGGGGAGGTCACAGCCCCCATGGCTCATACACATGCCACCAATGTGTGTGGCCTGTGCCTCCTAAAGGGCTGGCTCAAATACGGGGGGGTGGGGAGCATTGTGCAGTGGCAATATCGTAGCCAATGAGGTTTACCTGAGGCGTGATTATTGCTAATTGGAAAAAAAAAAAAGGTGGATAGCAGGCCCTTTCGCTCTGGGCCTGTAAGGGGAGGGCACCCCATGCTCTCTGAATGCCTTCAGTCATTCTTCCTGGTCTTGGACTAGAGGCCTGACTTCTGTGCAGGGGGCTGGCTAATTTCCCCAGGGTTGTAGAAAATCACCCCTAACTTCTTTGAGATGGCCAATTAATACTAATTTCCTTATCAAATCTGGGCACACCAGTCATGCTTCCTCAGAGCAAGCTTTCTCATTATTTTCAATGTGGATAGGCTGAGAATTTTCCAGATTTTTAAGGTCTGCTTCCTTTTTAAAATATATATACCTTGTTGGTTTCAGAAAGGAAGGGAGAGGGAGAGATAGGAACATTAATGATGAGGGAGAATCATTGATCGGCTGCCTCCTGCACGCCCCACACTGGGGATGGAGCCATGACCTCCTGTTTCATAGGTCAACACTCAACCACTGAGCCACGCTGGCCAGGCAGTCTGCTTCCTTTTTGATGAACAACTCTGTCAGTCGTTTCTCTCTTCCTGCGTTTTACTATAGTATTCAGGAGATATTAGGCGACTCCTTCAAAACTTCGACTTAGCTTAGAAATTTCCTGCCAAATAGCCAGTTTCATGACTCACACGTTCTACCATCCATAGAACTCGGCCACAGACACAGTTCCCTCGAGCACTCTGCCACTTTATAGCAACCATCACCCTCCCTCCAGCTTCCAAGAACTTGACCCTCATTTCCGTATGAGATGTCATCAGAATGGCCTTTACCATCCATATTTCTACAACATTCTGTTGAGTGTTGAGTGGCTCAGATTTCTCTAAGAAGATGGAGGCTTTCTCTCCACTCCCCACTTTTCTCTCTGAGTCACTAGAATCACCCAAAACAGTCCATTCATGCAATGTAGACTTTTCCTAGCATAGACCTCTGTCAATTGCCAGGAAGCAAAATCTCAATGAATTGAGATAATGCTCCAGAGAATGGCAGTTTTGCACCTTATTTTAATTTTGTTAATTATTTTTTTTAATCCTCACCTGAGGATATTTTTTCCATTGATTTCCAGAGAGAGTGGGCAGAAGGGAGGAGGGGGGAGAGAGAGAGAAAGAGAAACATCAATGTGAGAGAGACATATCAATTGGTTGCCTCACACGCGCCCCCTGAACGGGAATCCAGCCACCGAGCCAAACCAGCCAGGGCTGCACCTTATTTTATACATTACAATCAAAAGAGAAGGAGCAAGTGGGTTACATGAAATACATTGGTGATAGATTAGGGAGAGGAGAGAAAGCAAAGGGGGAACCTCTGGGACTGGATAAAAAGTAAAATGATAGACATACTTCTTTTACATAGGTGGTTATAGAATAGTTAATAGTCAACAATTAACTCAATAACAATGAGGGTGGTCTCTGCAGAGTGGTGCCTGTGCTTTGAGGGGTCCGGAAAAAGGAAACTTGCTCTGACATTCCAACAATGTGTTATTGTAGATGCAAAAAGACAATAGGCTCGGTTAGGGTAAAGATTGACCTTTGTCAGGGAAGATGCTGGCCTTGGACATGACTACCTGTCATAAACTGCTTTTAGTTTAAAAAGTTTTCATTTCAGACCAACCTTTGTGATTACTCTAGATCTCTGAGTTTGCAAGGCCTCCACACCAGGCCTTCCCTGAGCTTACCAGGTTTAGTATGTGCCCCTTTCCATCCACACCTCAAAACTCTTACCTCAACCCATTACCAGTTCCAAAGCCACTTCCATGCTGTAGGCATTGTTACAGCAGTGCCCCACTTCTCAGTAACAATTTCTGTCATCCATTCCGGCTACTATAACAAAAATACCACAGACAGGTGGGTGGGGCTTATAAACAGCAGAAATTTATTTCTTACAGTCTGGAGGCTGGAAGCCCAAGGTCATGCATGGTACTGGGCGATTGGATCCAGTTGCGGGCCCCTCCCTCGCAGCCACATCTCTGCTGTAACTTCACGGGCAGTGGGATGGGGGATCTCTGGGGTCTGTTGCAAGGGCACGAATTCCTCCTGAGGATGGAGCCATCATGTCTTAACCTCTTCCAAAAGCCCTACCTCCTCATACCATCACTGGGAGACTAGGATGTCAGCATGGATTTGGGGAAAATGAACATTCAGACCATAGCACCAGGGACCTTGAAGGCTGGTATCAGCTGTCTCCACTGCTGGAGAGAAGCCAAAAGATGCTGGGAGCATCAAGGAAGTCCCGCCCCTGCATCCCACATCCCACCTCCACATCCTGCCCTTGCATCCCACCCCAAAACCCACATGCTGCCCCTGCATCACACGCCACATCTGACCAAATTCTGCCCCAGCACCTGCCCCTCTATCCCACACCCTGTATCTCACCCCTGCACTGAGCTGGGAGGGCAGCACTCGGAGCAGAGCTGAGAAATGAGAAGCAAATAACTGACCAATCATCTTACCGCCAACTCCTGCCACTGCTAGTTGGGAAGCTGGTCACTACTCCTCAAGGCATCCCCAGGCTGCAGTCTGGGTTCACCTGAGCTTCTTGTAGTGTCTGTGTGTCCCTTTATCCCCTCTTTCATGTAGTCTGGAAGCTGGATGCGCTTTCTGGTTGGACACACTCCCTGCAGGGTGCCCAGTCCTCACAATCAGCTGGTCTCACTTTGAGGATGGGGACAGCCTTTCACGGGAAAGGTTTGCCCACCGAGGACATCGCCCGAAGCAGCCCCTTGATTAGAGGGGTGGCCCAGTTGTCATTACCTCTGCATTCGGGGCGGGGACTCCCTCAAAAGAACTTCCCCTGCTTCCACTAGGCTAAGTGTTGTTTCCCTGAAAATGTTCACACCAGAAAGCCAGCTTAGAAGCATAATTCTTTCAATTATTGACAAAAGAAATACTCAAAATTGTAAAAAGCCTTTAGTGAGAGTTTATTTGAGGCAGGACTTTGAGGACATGCCCAGAAGTAAGATCTCCACGGACTGAGACAGTGCTCCGGGGAAGGATGCTTTTGCAGTTCTTTTAGGATCAAAAGAGATGGCAGAAAGGTCACATGAAGTCCACCGGCGGCAGGGAAATCTCTAGGCTTGGCTAGAGAGGAAAGTAGAGATACACGCCTGCTTTACACTGGTGGGTGCAGGATGGTTCACACAATCACAGTGAGGAGACTATGCAGCAAAGAGATGCGTTTCCACGCGGTCCTGCCCTGCCGCTAGTGGGCCGGTTTTGAGGGTCTGGAAGTGAAAATTACTCTGACATTCCAAAGACATGTTATGCCAGATGCACAAGAACAGCGGACAGGCTCCCTCAAGGTGAAGACAAGCCTCTCACAAGGAGGTTGTGGGATGTGAGCTTCCACCAGGACCTGCCCAGTCAGGGGCTGATGTTCAGACCCTCCTGTGTGGAGGTCTGCACAGCCACCTCTTCACTCTCACCTTTAACTGTGAATTGTTAGAGTAAGAATGTGCGAACCCTGGGTGATGCCCGAGGATCGCGCTCTTTTCACACTCCCACACCACCCCTCAGCTCCTCCTGCTCCTGCTCGAGCCGGTCCTTCTGTACATTTGATGGAAGTCTAGTCCACTGCAGCCTTTCTCTCTGACAGATGGGAGGTGCTCCAATGATCCCATAGTTGGCCTGACAGAGCCCCCCTAGCCCCGATGACTCCGTGTTCCAGCACCACCACTGCCCCCCATATCTCCTGCCCCAGAGCCCATTCTTACTGGGGGTGGGGCATTGGAGAGGGTGGGACTCAGAGACCACAGGCAGCGTTCTGCTTCCAGGCCTGTTCCATGGGCAGAACCGGAAAATCATTTTAAAGTTGATTTATTTTCACTGAACTATGTGAGATGAAGGTGCTGCATGACCCTTCACCCTGAAATGCTTAGGCATGCAGCATACACATTTTTTAAGAAGGAAAAAAAAAAAGTATGCGTCCACACTGTTTCCAATTCAAAATTTAAGGTTTTAAATTTTTTTCCTTAAAATTTTTCATTTTACATCTTTTAAAATGAAAATCTTGGTTCTTCAAAACTTTGAAATTATTTGCTTTATTCTATAGGACACAATTATTTTGGTATAATAATATTCTTATTAACAATAAGATTACTGATTAAAGTTTGATGTATTGTTTAAAATATATTTTATTGATTTTTTACAGAGAGGAGGGGAGAGGGATAGAGAGTTAGAAACATCGATGAAAGAGAAACATCAATCAGCTGCCTCCTGCACACCCCCTACTGGGGATGTGCCCGCAACCAAGGCACATGCGCCTGACCGGAATCAAACCTGGGACCCTTCAGTCCACAGGCCAACAATGCTCCATCCACTGAGCCAAACTGGTCAGGGCAAAGTTTGATATTTTTGTTACTGTTTTTATGCCTTCCTCATTAAAGATATAGTTAAAATATAATTGGAGCCCTGGCCAGTGAGGCTCAACCCATGCATAGAAAGGTCACTGGTTCAATTCCTAGTCAGGGCACATACCCAGGTTGCGGGTTCGGTCCCGGTTGGGCTGCATCCGGGAGGCAACTGATCTGTGTTTCTCTCTTTCTCAAGTATATATAAATGGAATGAGCAATTTCTCTGGTTGCTTATGTCATCAACTTGATACACAAACTAATTTAACTTCTACAAATTGGGTGTTCTCTTAGGTTAGCTTTGTGTAAAACATCCTATATTACTTTATTGTCAAAATCAAAACTGTAAGTTTGCCCTAGTTGGTTTGACTCAGTGGATAGAGCATCGGCTCTCGGACTGAAGGGTCCCAGGTTCGATTCCAGGCAAGGGCACGTACCTTAGTTGCAGGCTTGATCCCAGCCCCTGTTGGGGCACATGTGGGAGGCAACTAATCGATGTGTCTCTCTTACATCAATATTCCTATCTCTCCCCTTCTCTGCCACTCTCTCTAAAAATCAATGGAAAAATATCCACCAGTGAAGATTAACCAAAAACAAACAACAACAAAAATGGTAAGCTAAGGTACCTTTTGCCCCTCACAGAGCCCAGCTGTAGGGTGACCCCGAGAAGCCGTGTGCCAGTTTATCCAGCAGGTCCCCTCATGCTGGGCATTTACTTTGTTGTCTTTTATTGTTCCTGGATTTTAAATCTCATTTGGGAGTGTTTTGCCCACTCCTCAGTTCCAAAGAAATTCACTTTTTTTTCCTAGTACTTGTTTCATTTTTTATATTTAGCTCTTTGGTCCATTTGGAGTTTGACTGGTGCAGTGGGATGTACGGTCTGGTTTAGGTTTTTCCCAGTGGCTCGCTGTGAGTCGACAATCAGCGACAAACCCATCCTCCCTGCTGCCTGAGCTGCCGCTGCTCCCGGGCTTGTCCTGGGGCCGGGCCTGAGCCTGGACGTCCCGAGTCTGCCCATCTGCATCTGGTCTGGTGCCTGTAGAGACGGCCCTGTCCCCCCCTCATTCCTCTTCTTTTTCAGGGTTTTTCTGGCTGTTTTTGTTTTTTGGTTTCTCTCATATGAACTTTATAACTAGCTTGTTTAAATTTAGGAAAAAACATTCTGGTATTTTTTTGGTTAGGATTACATTAAGTTTATAAACGTGGAGAACTGCCTCCTTGCATGGGTTTCCTCTCCGGAAGCTGGTGTTTCTGTCTGCTCGTCTACTTGGGTGTCTTTAGGTCCCTGATTGTCCTCACAGAGGCTTCACGCCCCTGACTGGCTCACACCTAGAACATGATCCTTTGCTGCTGTTGGAAATGGGGCACCTCTCCCAGTGTCTTCAACCTGCATATGCACAGACCACTGATGTGTCACTTCACCCCTGTGCTCCTCAGTGCTCTCAGCGTCTGAAACATTACCTTCTTGTGCTGGAAATGCCAGCACATTTGGTCCAAGTGAATGACAGAAGGCGGGGCAGGCAGGGTGGCCTTGTGCAGCACTGGTCTGAGGCTGTCCTCTTCCTCTCCACGCCCCATCCCTGTCTCCTGCCCGCTCCCTTCCTTCTCTCCGCCTGCCAGACCTCACACTGCAAGGCCACTGGGGAAGGGATGCTGAGCAGAGGCTGAGGGGACAGTGCAGGGGGCTAGGGGGACTGGAGGGGCAACGGGGGCAGTGAGGAAAGCTGCACGAGGCTGCACGGGAAGCAGGGCTAGACCTTAGCAGTTGTCTGGCTCAATTTGCCTTGTACAGAAAGGGAAACTGAGGCTGAGAAGTCACATTGCAGGCCTCCTGTGCCGTGTGCCTGTGGCTTGAGCGGGAGTCCGATGGGCTGCAGGGGACAGGCCCTGCTGGGGACAGACGGGAGCCAGGCTCAGGACCATGGGGCAGGCTGCAGTGGGGAAAGGGCTGTGTGAGCCAAGCAAAGGGATGGGATGGCAGGGACGGATGGGTTTGTGGGGAGTAGGGCGGCTGGGCACCCTGCTCTTGTTCCCGTGTGTGCGTGCTGGTGTGTGAGCTCCTGCTTGTGGCCCACAGGAGCAGAGGGCAGCCGATGAGGGAAGACGGCCTATCACGCAGGATTCACCTGCCTCCTGTCCGGTCCAGGCAGCCGCAGGAGGATAGGCACACAGACGCAGGCAGGTCGCCTTCCACTGCTATGACGCTTTATTGGAATCGAACACACACCCCGTCCTCGTAGGTCAGGAGTTGGTGCATTCACAGATCAGGGGTGCCGGCCTGGAGCCCAATCCCAGTCCCTGCCACAGGTGGGCGCGCTCTCCCGCCAGGGATGGATTAAGCAACAGCACATGAGCCTTATGCTCGGTGGGGTCGGTAAGATCCCACGGCTCCTCTAGCCTTGGCCAGGCTCAAGTCACCTTCAGGTCCAGTGTCCTGACATGGTCACCCTTCGTGGATAGGACCCGGTGTCAAGTGAGAGTTTGGTGTTCCCAGCTGCCTTCCTTTTGGGCCCGGGAGGTCACCCTGACCTTCTGGCTCCACAAGAGGCACCATGGAGCAGGGCCACAGGTGGGCACTGAAGGCCAGCTCCAGGCCCAGGGGAGCCTGCGTTCCCACTTCCCGGGGGCCTGGGTGTACAGAGAAGGGGCTCACGGGGGAGGGGCTCTGCGGGAGGAGGGCAGTGCCTCGGCCCAGAGCCTCCTGGTTCCAGGGCCAGGTTCATCTTTCTGGCAACAGCACAAAGAAGGCAGCCTTCAGGAAGCGGCCGAAGCTGCAGAGTGCAGTCACAAGCCAATGGGAGTGGAAGCCAGGGTTGCTGCTGACCACACACTTGAGGACGTCGGTCTGCAGGGAGGAAGGGACAGTTGAGAACAGAGTGGGGAGCGGAGGCCCCCGAGCCGTCCACCTGTGTCAGCCGAGCCAATAGGGAGCAGTGAGCCATGAAGGGAAGGTCTGTGGTCTGGTGGGGACTGAAGGCTCCGGCAGGGACCAAACCCCTCCATGAGGATTCAGATGGTGAGAAGGGAAGGGAGCTCAGGTGGGAGAGGAGGCAGCTGGGCCCCATGCCAGGAAGCCACCATGTCCAGCCCTAGTGGGGCTCCAGTGGGAGTGGGCAGGGGAGGACAGAGGCCTCAGAGTCCCTGTGCTGGGGGTGCCACAGCCACGGGAGTCACCTGGAGGCAGTACCTCCCGCCCAATGCCCCCTTCAGATGAGACCACAGCCCTTGGCTGCAACCTCAACGGAGGGCTGAGCTCGACACTCCTGCCAGTGTGTCCCACCTATTTTACAGAGAAAACAGATCTATGGGTGAGGGTGCCCCGCCCCATGCCCAGGGCCCAGCAGCCCCCAAGGTCTGGCTGGGCCAGGTGAGTAGTTAGGGGCATGGAGACAGTGTTGGAGATGACCAGTGCCATCGCTCACGAGGCACTGGAGCCCCGTGGGGAGGGCCGGGCAGGGCAGTGCTGGGCCTTTCCCTCTCAGGCCTGAAGTCCCTCCCCAGGCCGCCTTCTGCAGTGCAGGGGCCAGGCAGCGGGTCTTTAGAGCTGGAGTCCGGGATGGAGGGAGAGGTCAACACTGAGGTTGGACCCAGTAGCCCAACCCTTACTCGCCCTCCCACCTTTAGCGCCACTCCCCTTCCCAGCACCCCTGCGCCCCCAGACCCCACTCACCCATCCACCGCGCCTCCGCAGCCAGGTTGCCAGGGTCTTGCGCACAAATTCCCCGAGGCAATCGACAAGAGCATGAACCATGGCGGGCTGGGCCTGCCGCACACAGTCCACAGCCAGCCCGGCAGCCACCAAGTACAGGGACACCACCTTGCCCCATGTGATGCCTGCAGGGAGAAGATGCTGGTCAGCAGAAGGCCGCCAAAACCCTGCTCCAGTCCAGCCCGCGGGGTCCCATGATGGCTGGGGGTGAAACTCAGGGGGCTAGCCCCTACCCACAGCGCCCCCTGAACAGGTGCCAGGCCATCATCTGCTGCAGGTCAGTCCTGCCCACCCTTTGGGTAGTTCTTAGGCAGAGATTTCTTTGGACTCCACTGCCTAAGTGTGCACTAGTGCCAGAGCCCCGGACGACCCCACTCAGCCCCCATCTCCTGGAGGAGGCAATGGGACGGCAAAGTATTCAGCGAGAGGAAGCTGAGGGGGTGGAGGGTGCTGACTGCCTTGCAGCTGGACACAGTGGACAGTAAGAAGCTCTGAGGCACACCTGCCCACCTGTCTGTCCCCCTGGGCACCCTCTCTGCGGGGCAGCAGGGTGTTCCATGGGAGGAAGGGCCTTCCCAGACCACCAAGCTGGGGGGGCCGGGGGGGAGGAAGAGGTAGAGCCGAGAAGAACCACCCAGAGAAGTATGCTTGCACATTATACGGTATGAATTCCCTTAATATATAAAAATGTTTTATAAATTAATGAGAAAAAAACGCAACCTTTCAAAAGAAATAAGCACAGAACATGAACAGCTGATTCACAAAAGGAAAAACAAAAATAATGCATTAGACATGAAAGATGCTCACTAATAACCCAAGGGTGCATTACAATGGGATGCAGACCGTAGTCCACGAGATCAGAACTCAGATGGCAACATGAGCCCCAGGCAGCTGTAGCCTCGCAATGGACACACAGCCACCTGCAGGCTGAGAGGACACGCGGGCAGAGACGAAGCCCTTCCGTCTACCTACACAGCAGCACAGCTATCGATACAAATCAGAAATCAGCTTGAGCAGATACTTGTTCACAAAGTTCACAGCAGCCTTATTCCCAATCATCAAAAGCTGGAAATGACAAATGCACTAAGGTCATCCAGACAATGGTGTGTGACTCGGCCGTAAGGAGTGAAGCGTGGACACTCACTGCAGCCTGGACACACCTCTGACGTCCACTCAGCAAGGGCAGTGACACCAAGGCCACCCCTATGAGCCCATCTATACAGTGTCCAGGAAGCAGGTCCGTGGTTACGGGGACAGGGGTCGGGGAAGGGACAGCTAATGAGCATGCGTATTCCTCCTGATGGTGAAAAACTCCGGGGTGGTGGTGCTCAGTGTGAACCACTACATGCCACGGAATCGTACACTTTAAAATGGCTAGCTGTGTTATATGAATTTCACCTCAATAAAAGCCTGATGAATCAAATCATGTCACTCCCTTGCAACACTAGAAAGACTGAAATTTAGTATATACCTATATTGCCCAAAAGCCGTCAAAATGACTGCATTGTGAAAGAATAACTAATGTGTAAAGAAATTTGTTTAAAATTAATTTTTAATATTTTTATATTATTTACAGTTATATAACAAGTTATTCGACATTTCTTTCATGAATTTAGGGCGCAAAAGAAATAAAATAAACAACTTATTAGAACAAGTATCACTGCATAAAGATTCGAATAACAAGTACTAGTTTAGCTTATTCAGCAACTGCAAC